AGACATTCATTTATTGTTTTTATCCGCTTATTGCTATTCATGGTCACAAGGGCTGAGACCACCCGAGCATATAATCTGACTGAAGGTAAGAAGACATTTTGGTGGCTTAGCTAACATCTAACATTTTTAGAAACAAGTAAAGTTGAGAAGAAACAACATCACAAAGTCAGACTGAGGACTGTCAGGACTGAACACTGATAAAATGATGGATTTCTTTAATGTTGTTTTGAGATACAGGAGTGAAAGTGAACCCTGTGGTTATGAACAAAAAAGTCTGAGTCAGAAACAAAGCAGTAATTAATCCTCTTTCATATAGTTTCTAGAGATAAAGGCCATACACTTTACCAACAGCAAGAAGGAAAATTTACTTTATCAATAATTTATTCAATAAAAACATCAGTGGATGTAATACTGTTCTGTGGAGAAAGTCTGGAATTGCGTACAGGGCGTTGGACTTTTGTTTATGGTTCTTGAAGACATGTAACTTCTTATCTGAAAGACTTCCTCAGTTCTAACTAATTAATGGAGGGTTCTTGTCACCCAGAATGGATCCACCCAAGATTCACCTGCTGGTGAAACTGCCAGATCAGGGGAGACTACTAATGGTGACGAGATCCCAAGATGACATTATATGTACCTGATAGGTGGTCGACTCTAGTAACACAAGAACCAAAAGGAAAAGACTGGAGCTGTGAAGGAGTTAAAGGAACTGTATGACTGAGCATCTACACAGACCCTCAGAAGCCAACATTTCCAACTTCATGCTTTAACATTTTCTTGCCTGTTTCGCATTTCCCACCACATTTCAACTGGATTCTGGGCTTTGAACTGACCAGTCCATAACTGCTCCAGCACTGAGGATCGTTATCCCGCTGAATGGTCTGAATCTGGTTCAGCTTTTGTACAAATGGTCTTACATTATTTTTCAAGCACTCTTTGATTAGCTGCAGGATTTATAGTGGGATGAATGACTGCAAGTTGACTGTGAATCATCCTTTAGCTATGCTGCACCTCTACTCTCTCTTCATCTCTTCATCCTCCGTGCATTTATATATGTATGTCTATGACATTAACTTTGTGCCTTCTCCCTTCCTGTCATCTGGGCTTTCACCTCTCCATCTCCCTTTGGTTTGTTTTTAACTGATCGGCAGTTACTGACCCCCATCAACATGCTCGTTCTTCCTTTCTCTGCTCTCTTCTCGCTCCAGTCAGTCGAGGAAGCCTCCCAAATGCTCCTCAATGGGAACTCGTTGGGTGGAAATATTAAAGGGTCTTGACCTTACGATGGAAAGTGAGATGACGTCTGCTGTGATTTGGTACAAATTAAACTGAATTGATTATGCAGAGCAAACCTTTGCACTAACATATATATGTGCACGCACAACTGAGCTGCAGAGATTCAGCAGCACACATAACATCTGCAAAGCCAGGTGTGCGTCTCTGCCCACTCAACGGGAGGACAGCACAGGAAACACTGAGCAGGGCTGTGATCTTGGAGTTGAGGACGTGCTGGTGGGCCGAGGCTGTAAAGTACAGCTTTGTGCGAGAGCGGCAGGTGCTCCTATTGTCTTAAAAATATCACCTCAACAAAGACCGCCACGGAGGGTCACAAAGCAATCAAAAGCTCTCCAGTGACGGAACTTAACGTCCTTTTCCCTCTTTGATTTATTATGATTTATCACTAGTAAAGCTACTAAAGAGCCTCTTTACGCTGTGGTGGGTCGCACACGATGAGCTCTGCTCTACTTTTAAACTGTAAATGAACAATTACTATACACTTGTTTCTGGATCCATGGCTCATCCCAAATGCTACACAATCACATTTGATTTCTTCTGTGCGTACAGGCCCTGCTGGTAAATGTCACACTGTGACAGGCACAAAGCCTGGTCACAACAATCCTACCCCGAGGGGTCCCAGGGCTGTCACTTCCTCTCAAGTGTGTGGTCTAAGCAGTGGTTGATAGCAAACAGAAAGAAGGCTGAATTTTAGTGGTTTTATGGCCTTTATCCAGTCGGCTATTTCCGCAAAAAAGCACAGCTCCATAAGAAAAAAAAAAAAAAAAGAAGCTAAAGATGGCACAGTGGGATACTGTATATCAGCACATGATCACCAGTGATTTAGTCTTGTGGCAGAACATTTTCAAATGAGCACCCTGTTTCTAAGTAAATATCACATGAAAAGGCGGCGGATTTTCTCGTCTGAAGGCTAGTTTCTAATGACGGAAGAAGAAAAGCAGCTTGATCCGTCGCTCTGTGAATGGTGACAGAAAACAGCTCAGAGCTATTAACACTTCCTACTTCCAAACCTCTCTGTCACACACGTTTAAAATCTCCCTCGATGTCATCTCTCGGTTCAGATGTAAACACTGATGTTGTCTGACGAAGCAGGTAAATGATATCTCTTGTACTGATGCTTCAATTATGCAAAGAGTCATTAAAGTCTTTTCTCGAATATGGCTTTTACGTTGTACGATGATATGCTGTTTCATAATACTGAAAAGTGGGGGAAAAAATAATTAAAGTTGGATTTATTTAAAAACTACATATAATGTCAGCATAAAATCTATGTATACTGTTAAAGTGACTTGTTGTTTTTATGACAATAAAATGACAACAATTTACTGTATTTAAATCAGATAAAAGTATAGAATAGAATAGAATAGAATAGAATAGAATAGAATAGAATAGAATAGAATAGAATAGTTCTTTATTGTCACTGTGGAAGCAATATTACAGCAGTGAAACATTGTTGTAGTATCCTTTTATGGCAGCAATACACAATTAAAAAACATAAATAAAATAAAATAAAGTAAAATAACGTGAAACATAAATATATATCTAAAGTATAAAATGTACAATATCAAAGCAAAGGAGGTATTTACAGCAGACAGTGTCATTATTTTACAAATATCTGCTGTTATTTTAACAGTTTTTTGCAGGTTTTGAACTTTACATTATTCCACTTCTTAATTTAGTTTTTTTGTCATCATGCTGCCATTTCCCCCCCTTTTTTTAAAAAAAAAATTTTGAATTTGTTTTTGTTTTGTTTTTGATATTTACAGTATCCAGTCACACTTTCCCCCAATAAAAGCCGATGAGCACAACCACAAGCACTCAGTGGTGCTAAGCTTACAATATTGGTTTTATTTAGATCACTTCTGCAGAAGATGATGGACCTTTTCTGCACTTGTCACCATTCCAGCTTTTCTCTACCAGGTTGTTAATAACAGCCATTCCACTCAGAGCTATTACACCTTTTATCTTATTTGTACTAATTTATTCTGTTTAGAATATTTTATGTTAAAAAATTTAGCAGACTTCTTACAACTCTTTCAAGACTTGTCATATATATTTAAGAATGAATGTGTGACATGTTTTTATATGGGCTGGTGGAAATGGAGAATATGAAAAGCACATGTGTGCAAACGCTTGTCATTATAGATGTGGATCAATTACTGGCATGTTAATACATTCATACAAGAAAGGGCCTCTTTCAGTGTCGTGCAGATACAAATGGAGTCACTGTCTCTTATGAAACACGGGTGTATGAAGCCCTCTTGTGGTCTAAACATGATCTGGAGAAGCAACCACAGCATGCATTAATATGAATGAAAAAGGATCTCAGGTTGTTTGAATCCTACGCAAAAATGATTTATGTATTTCTCTTGTTTCCCTAAATCTCATTAAGGCTTAAAATGCTGTAAATCATTATTAGTTTCTACCAAACCAATTGCTTCATATGGTTTACATGTCGTCTTCTGTAGTTATATAGACTTTTTGATGCACCTTTAAAATGTCGGCTGCCAGGATAAAGCTGTGGTGCAGTTACTATTTAAAATTCAGAGGACAGAAGTGCAGTGGTGCTACACAGGCCCTCTAGTGGGTAAAGTTCACTTTAACTGTGCACAACTGTGGGTTTCTGCCTGTGTTTTATGATGTGGACACACACAGGGCTGAAATAGTCCCAGATGTCCACAAAAAAGGCAACTCTGGTAACCAGAGGGACAGTTGGGCTCTTTAGAGAGATTTCAATTGACTTCTGTTGACCAGAGGGAGTGTGTTGGTTCCAGGAACGACTCTATATCTGTCTGTCTTGTGGTTGGCCGTTGTTCTCCCAGGAAGTCAACAGGTGAAGCTGAGAGCGTGTCAGCGATACAATACACCTGATGAGGCTCTTCATAAGCAGACCTGCAAGATTATTATTATGACACACCTTAATTATGCTTTTGTGTTGCGTATTCTTAAATCAAGGCAGCATGGTGGAGCAGTGGTTAGTCGTGCTACCTCATAACAAAGAAGATTTTTTGGGCTTTTTTGTGTAGCATGTTCCCCCTTGTGTGGGTTTTCTCCGCCACAATTCACAGACGTGGATGGTTGTACCTCCTCCCCTTACTGCAGGGATGGAGCTGAAACATAAGACAGTTAAATCTTAACAATTATATGATATAGTAATTTGCAATATTACTTTTATAAATAGTTTGTACAATTTCTGATCATGTGTACTTGATATCCACGGGCAATATTTTAAATCTCATGTGTAGTATTTTATTTTCATATATAACATTTCAGATTTATTTGTAATATTTATTTATCATGTGTAATAGTTTTTTGGGGGTAATAATTCATTTTCTTGTGCAATACTTCAGTCTAATATATAAGATAAGATAAAGGGTAATACTGTTACAAGACATAAATTAATTTACTTCAGTATTGACAAAGATTTATATTATCTTACTTTTTTTTAAGGCTTACATTGTTTTTCTACTTCTAATATTTTACAAGGATGGCAGCTCTTGAATTAGCTTGTATTTGCGCTTGCTCATCCTTTCTCTGTCTGTCTGTCTCTGTTTATTTGGAGACAGCATAAACAATTGGGTAATGGGGTTGCCGTCGAGGTGAGATTTTCGCAACGCAGCACTTGAACGCAGCACGGCGCTCTCCCGCGGCGGCCGTCCAATCAGAGCGCGGGCTGCTGGTGCGCGTGTGTTGCTCGCGCGTGGGGGTTGAAGCGAAGACGCGTGAGCGAAGCGACTAGCGAGAACTCGGCTCATCTAGAGGTAAGATTTGTGAAACAGATAACAAACACTGATGATTTACTGATGCGAGCGTTTTCCGCCACGTCGGGCCGTTAGCCAGCAGCCCCGGGACTCGTCTCACTGACGTGACAGAGCGCCGGTTAACTGTCTTCACCACACTTTGCTGTTGCTTTTATTAACCCGCGAGCTAATGGTGGCTAGCTGCTATTAGCTTGTCAATGCGGCCGGCAGCGGGCTAGTAGCAGTTATCGGTAACGGTCAGTTTCATCGAGCTACGGAATGGAAATGTACACCGTTGTTGCTCGCCCGCTTTGGTCTAATAATCTTGAACCAGTCGGCGTAGAAAATATTAACGTAAAATGCTTCACGTTTGCTGTTGGCTAAAGCTTTGTTCATGGCACGTTGGTTCGTAGTTTCTTGCTAGCTAGCTAGCTAGCCAGCTAGCCCGGTTAGCTGCTGTCATATCTTTGGTACCGCCCATACCAGTTAAGTGTTTATCAGTGTGTGCCCGTTGGTGACCTGTTGTTAGCATGTGCATTCGTTTGATATCGTCCCTTGTGACTGTCAGAGGTAGCGGCAGTCATTTTGCGCATTGTACATGGAGTGATGCTAACTTTGTTTGCCACAGCCTAGCCCAGCTGCCATTAGCATGTCAATGCGTCATCGGCCTGCGCTTGCTCAACACCAGTGTTGCTATAGACCCGTCGGAGTTAGCTCAGCTGGTCTGCTGTCACTCATGTTTTTCTCGCTGACACTTCATCGTCCCTCTTGAATTTGAGACTTTAACGCTGATGGTTCGTTGCAATGCAGTAATCAAACACGTCCCTCATGTACGAGTGAAAACCTGGGCTCGCTGAAATCCAGTCGACACAGTTTTTCTCCTTTGCTCTACCGCTAGTTACCAAATCACTGTCAATGCTGATGAAAAATACACGACTAATATAACTGATCTGCTTCTGAACAGAGGAAGGAGCTGATACGTGGTCATGGACGCCAGTAAAGGTAAAGGAAAATTGTGTATTTTTTTGCCATAAAACACATCTCTGCAACTATAAATGAAGAGAATGGCACAGCCTACTTTGTTTTAAGCCCTTTATGCTATGGCAGTGCAACACGTACACCTGCATTCATGTTCTGTGTTGGTTCGGCAGGTAAAGGGGATCAAGGGATGCAAAATCCAGGTGGGCAGTTGGACAGACCTGTCAGCTTCCACTTCTTGGAAAGGTCAGTGCAGATGGTGTACACTTTGTTTCTGCTGTCTGTGATATAGATTATTATTATTATTGAATTTCCCTTCTGGAATAAATAAAGTATTTTTCATTCATTTTCATATAGCTCTGGAAATAATTGTTTGGCTACCAGTTTGATTGCAGTTTATCGTTGTGGTTAAAATAATTGTGGCATATTTTGTAGGACCTGAAACACTTAAAATAAGTTATGTTTAGAAATATAAATATTTAAAAATTCACACTAGATGGCTAAAAAACATTTTGAGTGACCATCTGTCTGTGCATTATCTGACGTCAACTGATAGTCCAAACTAAATGATCAGTCAACTAAAGAAGAGAATTGGTGAGAAGACAGCCATCTTGGTGCGTAACAAAGAAGGCCACAGTTAGAGAGGCGTCGCTAACCAGCTTGGAATCAGCTCAACAGCTGTCTGTTATGACCTTCTTAAGAAAACACAGTATTCAGCAAAGTATACAGCAAAGGAAGTGGCATAAAACAGGATCACAGTGGTTCAGCGATTATTTTCAAAGCTGCACAAGTTAAATAATTGTAATTAGAAAGAGTGTCAGCTTGTTACTTCCACGTCGCTGTTTGGGCAACTTAACAGGCCAATGAAAGAAGTTGGTAACTTACTTTGCTTCTTATTGTGCAAGTTTTCAAAACTGTAAATCTCTTTACTGAACAAACAGTTCTTATACATGAAGATCCATTTCCCAGTGACCATAAGGTAATGTTTCCATGTTCCCTGGCCACTTCGACATTTGGAACTGTATGTGAATATACTGTAAATTGCCTATTTAAAAATGTGAAGGTTTTTGTTGTAATTGCACATTGCAGACTGATTGCTTTGGCACCAAGCTGCCAAAAGATCGTAGTTTCAGTTGCGTCACCATCACCTAAACATCCATCCATTTTCTATACACCGCTTAATCCTCACGGGGGTCGCAGGGGGGCTGGAGTCTATCCCAGCTGACTTAGGGCGAAGGCATCTAAACATGTTATCGTATAATCCCAGGTGCTGACTTGTACGTGATCTAATTGTTCGGGTTAACGCTCAGAAATGGGGCCTTGGCATCATCAGATTTGTTGTTTTTGTTTTCTCTTATTTTAAATAGTTAAATGAGAAAAATTGCAAAACCACATCAAATTATCCAATCACAGCTTAGTACAATGAGTTCTACTCCTCTTATGCATAACAAGGAACAAAAACATTTCACACACGTAAAATAAAACCTGTTTTTGGATTCTTGACTTTCTGCAACCAACAGAGTAGGTTAATGAGTGAAGCAGTTGACACTTGCCACAAACATCCCATAAAACCATCCACTGCTTGTTGCCCACCACATAGGTTGAGGATTAACTATTGAGCACTCACCGCACTTGGTTCACGATTACAGTTTTCCTTCGAAAACATTGTTCATAATTGTAGTTTTTCTACAGAAGATTTAAGTTCAAATCAGGTCTCACGTTTCTCTTCTCTTTCAGCATGCTTCCCAAAGTGGTGAAGAGGCGAGTGCATGCCTTAAAAAGGCTACAGGTGCAATGTGCTAACATAGAGGCTAAATTCTACGAGGAGGTCCATGAGCTAGAGAGGAAGTATGCTGCCCTCTATCAGCCACTGTTTGACAAGGTACGACAAATAATGTTTTCATAGCTAAATGTTTTCCTAACCTTATTTTACTTGCCTATTACACTTGAGATATAGAATTTCTTTTGCACATTTTATGTCTGTTTAAAAAGACTAAGTACTATAAAACGACTACTGACTTATTTGTTATGAGAGTAAACATTTAAGAAGCATTTGTGTTGTTCTCTGCACTTAACGGGTGTTTCAGTATCTCTCTTTGGTCCAACTTGAGATCACTGAGGGTGAACTGTTGGTGCTAAATTAAAAACTGCTACAACGAGTAGTCGGCTGGCCCTTTGTCAGTCAAGGCTATTTCCAGAGATAGTGACAAGAACTCTGCCATTCTCAACCGCAGGGCAGAGTGGCAGCTGTAATCCTGCTGCACCTGTCTGTACTTTGTGTATGTTGTGTGTGTGTGTGTGTCTCTCAGATGGTGTTGATGTCAGCGCGCTAGCTGAAAGTAATTCAGCTTTACCAAATCAATGTTTGTTCCTATGGAGACATTTTGCACTAATATAGTATTTCGCTAAAATAATGAACTTTGCCGTTATGTGTCACAGAGACGAGATATTGTCACAGGAACAGTGGAGCCCACAGACGAGGAGTGCGAGTGGCAAAGCGACAAAGAGGAAGAGGAGGAGCTGGCTGTAAGTTCACATTTGATTTGTCTTCAGAGCTTCACCTGACTTCTTTTGGTTTTTCACAGCCGAAGACATTTTTCTTCCAACCTACCGTGGCTCTTATAAATGATTCAAGGCGTGCGCTGAAATTGGCTCCAGTAGAATAGTGGATTTAGATTTGTTATGAAACTATCGGTATATCATTAGCCATCACTGTAACTATTACAGATGGACGAGAGCATCGCCAAGAAGGTTTGCAGTTGCTGCCAGGCCTTTAGCATTTGGCACTGTTTTCTTATTTTTAAATATATAATCAAATAATAAACCGTTTCCTTGAATAACATTTCGTGACAGCCTAGAATCCGTTCTGTGTGAATGGCGAGTCTGCCTGTGATCTGTGTGTATCTGATTTATTGGAAAGAACCATGTCTGGTAAATAGGTATTGATCTCCGTCAAGTGTTTTGGAAACTTAAGAACGAGATTGTTCAGGCTTTTGTGAACGCTCAATTGCTCTGCTTACAGGAGGAGGTAAAGGAAAAGGCTGCTATTGAGGATGCAAAGAAAGAGGAAGCCACGCCAGAGGAAGATCCAAAGGGCATCCCTGAGTTCTGGCTCACCATATTCAAGAGCGTGGACATGCTCAGTGACATGCTACAGGTACATCTCGATGACAGCTCGTGCCATTTTACCGCATTCCTGTTCAGTGTCTGACCTGATGTTGATCTCCTGTCAGGAACATGATGAGCCCATCCTAAAACACCTGAAAGATATTCAAGTGAAGTTTTCCGAGCCAGGACAGCCAATGGTCAGTAATATTGCACCAATATGAGAACAGCTTTATAAACTAAATACCCTAAAAACATCAAGTCAATTCATCTTCTTTGTCTCGCAGAGTTTCACATTAGAGTTCCACTTTGAGCCCAATGGCTACTTCAACAATGCAGTTCTCACTAAAGTCTACAAGATGAAGTCGGAGCCTGACGCCTCAGATCCTTTCTCATTCGAGGGCCCAGAGATCATTGACTGTGAAGGGTGAGAGCCAGAGCGCACAAAAACCGCTTGTTAAACTGACACATATGATGAAGTAAAAATAGGCACTGTGTGGTTAGTAAAACATTTCTGTTCACAGTTTCTATATTAATCTCTCTTGACTTTGCATCCCACATATCAGCCTCCTCTTGGCACATCTTCCAACTTTTACCTTTTTTTTTTTTTGCATCCCTGCTTTCTGCTGCCTCTCAATTTATTTCTTTATTTGTATTCACTTGCTCTCTCCAGCTGTCAGATAGATTGGCACAAGGGGAAGGATGTGACAGTGAAAACTATTAAGAAGAAGCAGAAGCATAAAGGCCGTGGCACCGTCCGCACTGTTACCAAACAGGTCCCCAATGACTCTTTCTTCAACTTCTTTAATCCTGTCAAAGGTGAGAACTCGCACTAAGATAGACCCACACACAAACTACAGTGGCTAGAAGTCTAAATGCAGCATTCAAAGCATTTACTCCTACTTGTTTTAGCACCTTCTCTGTGTCTCACACAGCAGTGAGCCCTGAAATTCAAAGACTCGTTGTCTCTCTGTTAGCTGTGTGTACGCATTGGTGAAGTCCTCAGAAATCCTGAATCGCTGAAAGCTGTTCAGAGAAAGAGGGAGTTGATCGTTAGCATGTTTACATACAGGTGGTGTAGCAACATGTTAGCATGTAGCATGTTTACAGTCGGTCTTGCATTGAGCTAAATTCGACAGCAGGTGGCGCCAGACTCATTGTGTTAGACTGTGCAGGCCGTGCTGTGTGTAGGTGGAACATTTGGCACGTCTGTAGTTGCACTTTGGAACTTTTACATCAGCTCTGGATTTGCTATTATTTTCCAGAGTGAAGAGTGAGTCTTTGTGGAGCTAAATTGTGATTTAATGAGTGACAGTAAAATGTGAGGCGACGATGAGACTGAAGCAAGAAGTTTCACATCACTAATGTGTGTTTGGTTTGTTTGTAGCACAATTTTTTAAAAGCGGACGTCTTAATCAGAGAAGTATGAATAATAATTAATCATGTTTGAAGGCCTTTCGCTTGTTACATAAATGAATAACTCTTGTCTGTGAGATTGTTTAATTAATGAAACCAAACCCTCTGGACTAAGGGAGCCTTACTGGTATAATTGGTGGCATTAAAGATCAGGCAGGTCAGACTGGAAGCTTTTGTTCAGTTGAATAAACACAAGGTGATTAATGCAGTGACAGTTCCCTTTAGTCAGAAATGTTGAAATGCAGAATTCTTCCTCAAATGATCACTAGGTTAGGCAGGATACACCTCCATTCAGTGGCTGTGGAGTCGTCCTACCTGTTCAACATGCCTGGACTTATTCTGACTTCTACAAGTTGACCTGATCACTCATTGGCTGAGCAAATGTTTGTCTTACTGGTTCAGTCATAGTCTTGCTGCGTGACTGATGGATATAAATCTCCGTCTCAACTGCGTTAAGGCGTGCAGTTCTGGGACTGATCTGTCATTACTGCGTTTGCCATCGCTGGCTGACCATGTGAACGCACAAGAGTGCAGGGTGACTGAATCGCTGTGCGGTTTGTTGATCTGTTAAGATTTATTGTGTGTTTGTTTACTTGGCAGACATTTAAAAAAAAATTAAATTAGGAAGTAACTGACACAGAAAATGTTGGTTTCAATGAGAGAGGATAGAAAGTAAAGTTGTCCTGTATTAAACCAACGTAAGAGGTGAAGTGTAAGGCAGTCCGAGCCGAGCTGTTGAGGTGACGCTTCAGCTTAAACCTGTGAAAATCACCAGTAAAATCCATCCATTATGTATACACCACGTAATCCTCACTGTGGTCGTGGGGGGCTGGAGTCTATCCCAGCTGACTCAAGGTGAAGGTCGCCAGTCTATCACAGGGCTACACTTAGAGACAGACAACCAAGCACACTCACATTCACACCTACGGACAATTTTAGAATCACCAATTAACCTCAACATGATTTTGGATTGTGGGAGGAAGATGGAGAACCCGGAGAGAACCCACGCCGCCTGGGGAGAACATGGAGACTCCACGCAGAAAGATCCCGGGTGTCCTCACCGGGACGCCAACCAGCGACCTTCTAGCTGCGAGGCAACAATGCTAACCACTGAGTAAAATAGTAACGATAATAAAGCGCTTTCACATATGGCACTACAAGGCGAGCAGGCACCACATTTGTAAAGAATGAGCAACATTAAGCCTGTTTATCTAAATGTATCCTGGGGATCACACTGTGTTTGAACCCTGTGTTCAGGTACATGATGAAATCCTGACATGCGGTACGAACAGTGTCATGAGAGCCGTTTCCTCAGCGCGGTCGAAGGACGAGGAAGGATCACATGATGTCACCTTTAGTCATTTATTTCAGCAGGGTGGGGCAGACAGCTGTTGGCTAATGGTCTGCCACTTTCTACGGATGATGACCTCACGTTGTGATGTCATTGATTAAAAGCACAACTTTCAACGGACTTTCAGATGTTGGTCGAATTACAGCTAATCCAAAAGAAAGCTGTTCTGAAACACGTGGAGCGTCTGAATGTCTTGAACCGACTGAACTGGTTATTTGAAAATGAATGTGACTTTTAAAATCTCGTTGCTCCAACTGGAACCTTTCTAAATATCTTCTGTCGTAAAGCAGCGCGTTGAGGTTCTAACATACTGTTTGTCTTTTATCCAACAGCTTCACCAGATGGAGAAATGGTGAGCGAAATGTTGCTTGTTCTTCATAAAAATCCTGATTGCCTTTCGTTCGGTTTATTTGATTTATCGCTGTGTGAAAATGCTCTGCGTGTTCTCCTTTTATAGGACGAAGACTCTGAGTTCACCCTAGCCACAGACTTTGAGATTGGTCATTTCTTCCGTGAAAGAATAGTTCCCAGAGCGGTGCTGTATTTCACTGGGGAGGCCCTGGAAGATGATGAGAGTGTGAGTGTTTTTTTCCTCGTGAACATAAAAACGCTGATATACTGAAGCCACCAGATGGGATGTTTGCGGTTTCGCTCCTGTTGAGGATATCAGACTGTGTGTTTTACCGCTCGCTTTTGTTTGTGTTGCAGTTTGAAGAGGAGGAACTGGAAGAGGGGGATGAAGAGGTTAGAAATATTGCTCTCATTTGATCTGAAATAGCAAACAGCTTCTATTCTGGTGTTATTTGCAGCTGCCTCACCGCTAAGCCTTAAAATCAACCCTTGTGTGAACAAATTGTGTGGTTTGCGTCTCTTTAAAAACGATCCTACTTCTGTGTCTCAGGAACAAGACGAGGAGGGTGACGAAGATGATGATGAGGGAGACTTTGACCCCAAGGTCAGTTTGCATCCTTTTTCCTTCAGCTTTCGGTATTGATATTCTTAAATATTTAAACATTCCACTTAAAAGTCTGTTGGAATTTATTGCAGCTTTAACCATTAGGTCCAAACAGCTTTATTCTGTTTGTGTTCATAGAGCCGTGCAGTCAGATAAGCTAGAACAGACAACCCTTTTTAACCACTTAAAAAAGACTGTGTTGAAAGATATGGGCTGTGTGTAAATGTAAAAGCAGTTTGTGAGCATTTCACCAACTTAACAAACCTGCACGAAAAAGCATCACAGCAGAACTGAAGAACTGAGGTTTTATGGACTTCTACTGGTGGAAGCGCTCCGATTATTTTGTTTGTTGGTGGAAAGACTCACACAGTTTGAATATAAATGGCAAAGTTTCTCTTTCGTACCAATAAATAATTGTCCAGCTGTCTAAACAACTGCAATATGATCATGATTAGAGCAGGAAAATGTTAGCCGATGCTAGTTTAAGGAGGCAAAACATTCTGGGACATCGTATTGTTTGTATATTTCCGCATATAGCATGTTCGCTGTATATTGAAAAGAAAATATGATGATGTCATTTTTGTAAAATTAGTTTCAAGCAATGTGTTGAACAGACTAGCTAGATGCTTAAGCGTGACTCCGCTCTCCCGCCTGCTCAGCTGTGCTCTGCTACATGTGCTGCTGATCACTGCAGACCAGGGGTCTCCAATCCTGGTCCTCGAGGGCCACAATCCTGCATGTTTTAGATGTTTCCCTCTTCCAACACACCTGATTCAAGTGATCAGGCTTCTGCAGAGCTTCATGGTGAGCTGATCAACATGCAGGACTGTGGCCCTCGAGGACCAGGATTGGATGCCCCTGCTGTAGACAACATGTTCGAAATCATTCTGCTCAACAAACTGTGTAATAACTAAATTAGCCCAAGAATCTTTTCCTCTTGTGTTCTGTGAAAGAACGCTTTTATATCAACACATATTCAACAACATTTACGCAAACGCAGACCACGATCAGCCCAGTCATATCATGATACAGCGGCCCTCGACTTATTGTCCTCACCGTACTGCTACCTGTACGGGTTGCCCTAAAATCACAACTGGGATTAAGCTACAAAGTCGAGACATAATCTGGAACCTAAACAAAGACCTAAATATCTTGGTTACCTGCAGAGCTGCGTCGTTGCACAACCAGTAATTACCTTAATGTCTGCAGCAACTGTCGTCTTCAGCGTGTCGTCACCTAATTGCTGCACACCTATTCATTACAGTAAAGCCTCATAATCCACTGTTTGAGCTCAATCTGTTTTCATTATCGACCCACAATGATGATAAAAGTGTGAATCTTCTGGTGTCTGCTTCACTTTACTCCTTTAATTGTCAGGAACTCTGCATGTGATAGACTTTGTCTGCGATCACATTTTGGCTAAAATCGATGATGTAACGACGGCCAGTGAATGAACTATTTATTTGTGGTTTAGCTGCTGGTTTAGCTGCATGACTACGTTCTGTTTGTGAGCTATTCCCGTCTGACAGCGAGTAAAGCATGTGCCCTGTAAGCAGGCTTTTTTCGGGAGCGACCGACAACGCTGCTTTCTTTGTGAATGACTTTCTTTTAGCAGCTTGTTGTGTTGAGTTTTCCTCTCGTGGTCTCTGCTGTCAGCTCGTTAGTTATCGATTTTTTTTTGTTTTTGCTGGAGGAATTCAGGGTGCGCATTCACCAGCCTCAGCGATGTTTCTCTGTGCTCACTGCCATTTGTGGATGTGATGATTAAACTTGTTCATGCTGTTGTCTCTCCCTCCCCTGGACCCCCCCTCCATTACAGGCATAATCAAACATTCTCACCCCATGCATTTCTAGGTAAGGGAGAAATAAGGATGGCGTCCCACATGCATCACACACTGTCTGGTCCAGTGGCTTTGGTTTATGACTCTTGCCGTCTTTTTCTTTCACTACATCCTTGATTCTCCCAGTAGTCTGAGGGCTTTAGGAACCCCCCCAACTCACATCTTGGGTAGATTTCTATTCTGGTAGTCCATGTCTTTGTTTCCATCTCTCCGTGCTGTAGTTCCATCCCAGGTTTCTAACATCTTTCCCTTCGCTGTACCACATCAGGTTCTTTCATTTTCTAGCATCTGCTTGATTGTAACCCTCTTCTAATCGGCTGCCCTGTTGCCTAATCTGGTTTCTCTCCGTGTCCTCTGCAGAAAGAACAGCCCCAGCCTGCCGAATGCAAACAGCAGTAACCGTGGTGATCAGGAGAGGTGGAAACCTGCTGTCCGTCAAATCAGTTCTTAGCCAATCAGCAAGTCCTCCTACTCTTGCAGGCTCCGCTCTTTTACGAACTCTCACCTGAACGCAATAGAACGCAAACCAAACTGCGTTTTTAATATGTGCATGACTTCTTTTTCTTTTGTCTTGCACCCATCTCACCCCCCTTTTTTTTTTTGTTTGTTTTTTTTTGTTTTTGGCTTCATTCGAACTCCAAACAGGAATTGACTCGACTCCTAATCAAATTGCCATGGCATCACGTAGGGACAGTCGTCTTCTTCTTCTTTGGTAAGGTGGAGTAGGTTGCTACTGCCAAACTCAGAACATCATTAAATGGGAAAGGGTAGGAAAGGAACGGATCCCAACTTTAGTTTTCATGAAAATAAGTCAATTACTCAGGGTTTTTTAAACGCCAACAAGAGACGTGTGAGTTTACGAGGAAACTGCTGAACAAGTTTGACTTAATCTTTCACTGGGGTTGTGTTTTTTTCTTTTGTTATGGTGTTTTATAAGAGACATACAGTGTATCATTTTGAATTTAATTTACTTTTTTTTTTTTTTAAGTGTTCATTGTCATGTCATTGGATTATTTATTCTGGTGTCATGCAGCTGTATGAAGTGGTGCATTTTGGGGAACGCTTTAAAGCCCGGCCGCAGTTATAGGCTCACTCTCACCGGCTCCGATCTCACTTTGGGCTTAGGACAACAAAATACTGCCAAGTCGTATTTTTATTGTTATTATTGTAGTCAAAATTAAGACGTGTGTCCTGTATTAACGCAGCTCACGTCTGCCCATGTCTACATTGGGCTAAACAAGCATTTAAACGAAGCACTTGAGTGGGACACGTAGGACTAATTAAGACAGGCACGTGGTTATACCTCAAAACTCTCATGTAATGCTCTTCCCTTTTTTTCAACCCCTGAAATGCTCTTTTGTGTTAACAAGCGTAGTAGGAATGATTTATCAAATGAAGACATTCAACAAGAACAAATCTTTAGCTTGTTGGTTTTCCCCCCAGCCCGAGCATCACACACACACACACACCAGTGTTCCCCTCAGAGACGACAGGTTTGAGCAGACACATTAAACTTCTGTGGTTGTTTTCACTTCTGGTGTGTATCCAGTTCTCAACAAATGTCACGTAGAGTCAGGGATGGGACAGGAAGCAGGAAGTTTGGATCAAAATGTAAATTCTGTTGCCAAGAAGCCAAAATGTAAGACACGCCGTCCTCTTTTATTGAATTGTTTGCCAATTGTCATTAACACAATGTAATCTAATTCAGCATTTAAAGTTGTTTAAGAATATATATAAATATTTCTGTTATTGTCTAATGATTCAGTAGAATGTCTGTGGAAAACAAGTGGAAGAGGGTGCCAATGTATTTTCTACACTGTACTGGGATTTTGGCCGTTCGGTTGGACACCTTTGCCTGGTGGCTGGTCATCGATAGCAGCGACAGC